ATGGGTCAAACCAAGAAATCAAAAAGACATTTAAAAAAATTACATGAAAATGAAAACACAAAGGTCCAAAATCTTTGGGATCCAGCAAAAAGTGGTTTTAAGAAGGCAATTTATAGGACACCGGGGTAGCTCAGTGGATTAAGCCTCTGCCTTCGGTTCAGGTCATGATCTCAGGGTCCTGGGATCTAGGCCCACATCAGGCTCTCTGCTCAGCAGGGAGCCTGCTTCCCACCCCCCTGCCTGCCTCTCTGCCTACTTGTGATCTCTGTGAAATAAATAAATAAAAATCTTAAAAAAAAAAAAGAAGGCAATTTATAGAGAATCACAGGCCTACCTCAGGAAGAAAAATCTCAAATAAAAGACCTAACCTTACACTTAAAGCCAGAAAAAGAACAACAACAACAAAAAAAAAACCCAAAGCAGCAAAATTTAAGAAATAATAAAGATTAGAACAGAAATAAATGGTACAGAAATTAAAAAATAGAACAGATAAATGAAACCAGGAACCGATTCTTTGGGGGGAAAAAAAAATCAACAAAACTGATAAACTTCTAGCAAGACTCATCAAAAAGAGAAAGAGAGAGAACACCCAAATAAACAAAATTACTAATGAAAAAAGAGAAACAACAACCAACGCCAAAGAAATAAAAACAACTGTAGAGGTGCCTGGTTGGCTCAGTCGGTCGGGCATCCAACTCTTGATTTAGGTTTGTTACACGATCTCAGGGCCGTGGGACTGAGTTCCGTGTCAGGCTCTGCGCTGAGTGTGAGCCTGCCTGGGATTCTCCCTCTCCCTCCACCCACCAAGTGCACTCTCTCTCTCTAATGGAAAGGAAAGGAATGGGAAAGGAAGGAATAAAAATAACTGTAACAGGATATTAAGAAAACATATTTGACAACAAACTGGACAACCTGAAAGAAATGGATAAATTCCTAGAAACCTATAACCAACCAAAACTAACACAGAAATAGATATAAAATTTGATTAGACCAATCACCAGCAATGAAACTAAAATAATCAAAAAACTCCCAACAAAAGTCCAAGAGCAGACAGCTTCCCAGGCAAATTCTAGCAAACATTTAAAGAAGAGTTAATACTCCTCCTCCTTAAACTATTCCAAAAAATACAAAAGGAAGGCAAACCTCCAAATTCATTCCATGAGGCCAGTATCACCCTGCTACCAAAACCAGATAAAGATACCACCAAAAAAGAGAACAGGCCAGTAGCTCTTAAGAATATAAATACAGGGGCACCTGGGTGGCTCAGTGGGTTAAGCCTCTGCCTTCGGCTCAGGTCATGATCTCAGGGTCCTGGGATCGAGCCCCGAATCAGGCTCTCTGCTCAGCAGGGAGCCTGCTTCCCTTCCTCTCTCTCTCTCTGCCTGCCTCTCTGCCTACTTGTGATCTCTGTCAAATAAAATCTTTAAAAAAAAAAAAAAAGAATATAAATACAAATATTCTCAACATTAGCAAACCAAATGAATATGTTTTTTAAAAATCATATACTACAATCAAGTGGGATTTATTCCCAGGAGGCAACAGTTTAACATTCGCAAAACAAGGCACACCTGGGCTGCTCAGTCGGTTCAACGTCTGCTTTCAGCTCAGGTCATGATCCCAGGGTCCTGGGGTCAAGCCCCACTTTGGGCTCCCTGCTCAGCAGGGAGTCTGCTTCTTCCTGTCCTTCTGATGCTCCCCTTGCTTTTGATCTCTCAGTCACTCTCTCAAATAAACAGTCTTAAATATATATACGTTTGCAAAAGAAGGGGTAGCTAGCTGGCTCAATTGATAGAGCTTGTGACTTTGATCTTGGGGTCATGAGTCAAGCCCCACATTGAGTATGGAGACTACTTTAAAAAAGTAAAATGTTAAGGGCGCCTGGGTGACTCAGTCTGTTAAGCGGCTGCCTTCAGCTCAGGTCATGATCCCAGGGTCCTGGGACTGAGTCCCACATCCGGCTCCCTTGCTCAGCAGAGAGCCTGCTTCTCCCTCTCCCTCTGCTTGCCGCTCTGCCTACTTGTGCTCTCTATCCTTCTGTCAAATAAATAAATAAAATCTTTTAAAAAGTAAAATGTTAAAAAGAATATATATTTGCAAAACAATGTGACACATCACATCAATTAAAGGATAAAAACTATATGCTCGGGGCACCTGGGTGGTTCAGGGGTTTAAGCCTCTGCCTTCCGCTCAGGTCATGATCCCAAGGTCCTGGGATCGAGCCCCGCATCAGGCTCCTCAGGGAGCCTGCTTCCTCCTCTCTCTCTGCCTGTCTCTCTGCCTACTTGTGATCTCGATCTGTCAAATAAATAAATAAAATCTTTAAAAAAACAAAAAAACAAAAAAAACTATATGCTCATTTCAACAGATGCAGAAAAAGCATCTGACAAAGTATAACATCTATTCATGTAAAAACCCTCAACAAAGTTAAGTCCAGAAGAAACATAACTCAACATAATAAAGGCCTTACATGAGGGTGCCTGGGTGGCTCAGTCATTGGGTGCCTTCCTTTGGCTTGGGTCGTGATCCTAGAGTCCTGGCATCGAGCCCTGCATTGGGCTCCCTGCTCAGCAGGGAGCCTGCCTTTCCCTCTCTCACTCCCCCTGCTTGTGTTCCCTTTCTAGCTGTCTCTCCCTCTGCCAAATAAATAATTATCTTTTAAATAAATAAATAAAGTCCTTATATGAAAAACCCACAGCCAACATCACATTCAATGGTGAAAAACTGAGAGCTTTTCCCATAACGTCAAAAACAAGGCAAGGATGTCCACTCTCATCCCTTTTATTCAACATAGTAATGGAAGTCCTAGCTACAGCAATTAGACAACATAAACAACCAAAATGTTAAAGAAAAAAACTACTTGCAGATGACATGATACTCTATACAGAAAACCCTGAAGACTCCACCAAGAAACTATTAAAACTGGTAAATGAATTCAGTAAAGTTCCAAATAAAGTTCCAGGATACAATGTACAGAATTCTGTTGCATTCTTACAGACTAATAATGAAGCAAGGAGCAAATGAAATTAGGAAAACAATCCCATTTACAATTGTACCACAAACAATAAAGTATCTAGGAACAAACTTAACCAACGAGGTAAAAGACCTGTACTCTGAAAACTTTAAAAACACTGATGAAAGAAATTCAAGACAATGCAAAAAAAAAAAAAAAAAAAAAAAAAGGAAAGACATTCTATCCATGCTCATGGGTTGGAAAAACAAATATTGTTAAAACGTCTATACTACACAATATATGGATTTAATACAACACCTATCAAAATGCCAACAGTATTTTTCACAGAACTAGAACGATCCATCCTAAAATTTGTATGGAATCACAAAAGACCTCAAATAGCCAAAGCAATCTTGAAAAACAAAAATAAAACTAGAGGTATCACAATTCCAGTTACATTCCACGTTATACTACAAAGCACTAGTGAAACCGTATGATAATGGCATTAGACACATAGATCAATGGAATAGAACAGAAAAACCAGAAATAAACCAACAATTATAAAGTCAATTAATCTTTGACAAAGGACTGAATATACAATGGGGAAAAGTCTCTTCAACAGCTCTGTGAACAGCTACACACAAAACAATGAAACTGGACCACTTTCTTATGCCATATACAAAAATAAATTCAAAATGGATTGAAGACCTAAATGTGAAACCTGAAACCATAAAAATCCTTGAAGAGAGCATAGGCAGTAATCTGACATGGGCTGTAACAACAGTTTTCTAGATATGTCTCCTGAGACAAGGGAAATAAAAGCTAAAGTAAACTACTGCGACTACATCAAAATAAAGCTTCTGCCCAGAAAAGGCAACAATTAACAAAACTAAAAAGCAACCTACAGAATGGAAGAAGATATTTATAAATGACTTATCCAATAAAGAGTTAGTATCCAAAATGTATAAAGAACTGATACAATCAGTACCTAAAAAACAAATAACCCAAAACTGAGCAGAAAACATGAACAGAAATTTCTCCAAAGACATCTAAATGGCCGACAGGCACATGAAAAGATGCTCAACACCACTCATCATCAGGAAAATGCAAACCAAAACTACAATGATATCACCTCACACCTGTCAGAGTGGCTAAAATAAAAAACACAAGCAACAACAACAACAAAAACACATACACACAACAAACAAGTGCTGTTGAGGATGTAGGAAAAAAGGAGAACTCATGCACTGTTGCTGGGAATGCAAGCTGGTGCAGCCACTGTGGAAAACAGTACAGAGGTTCTTGAAAAAATTAAAAACCAGAACCATCCTACAATCCAGGAATCACACTACTGGGTATTTACACCAAAAATACAAAAACACTAATTCAAAGGGATACACGCACCCCATGTTTATTGCAGCATTATTTTCAACAGCCAAACTATAGAAGCGGTCGATCAATAAATGAATGGATAAAGTTTTAAGAAGGCCATTTATAGAAACCAAGCTCACCTCAAGAAGCAAGAAAATTTTATTAGATAACTTGTTTTTATATTTATTTCCTCTCACTTGAGGTAAACATTTTTAAAAGTTTCCAGGCTTACAATTTTAAACTCCATCTTCTAATCCATAAGCCTCTCTGTTTTATCCCTCTTTCTGATACTGGTATTAGTTTCACTATTAGTCTCCTCATATATAAATGATACAACTAGGTGACCTTTAAGAAACTCTCACTTAGAGATTACATAGTACTTCTCCCAAATAAAATACCCACATCAAGAAATTTTATTAAATTTATTAACAGAATTTGATACCTGATACTCAATTTGCATAAAATATTTATATATTCTAAAAAAAATTTTTTAAATGAAAATTTTAAGGCTTAAAGTGACTTGTTCAAGATCAGCCATACTACTGCAACTTTTAGTTTTATTTCACAAAATTTAGATATGAACCCCTCACAGTGTAGAAAGTTCCAGTTTAAGGCTATTTTTTGGTAATTTCAGGTTAAAAAATTTTTCAAGTCTATACAGTGGAAGGAATCACAATACCTTTTATTTGTCTCTTTCCTTTTGTGCTTGGTTATTTCTTTTAAGGCATATGGAAAATGACTCATAAAATGGTGTTTGAAATCAATAAGATAATTCTTTCGAAGCCACGACTCCTATTAAAATAAGCGAGTATTAGAAAATCTACAAGAAACAATTATTTAAAATAACCAAATTTAAGCAGAAATTTGACTACCTATTAATATTCAATTATAAATTTACAATTATAATACCCCTTTTGCTCATGATAGAAGATATAAATAAATTTTAAAATCAGAGTAAAACATTAAGGCATCCAATTCTCACCCACAGATATTTTAGGTGCTTATTAATTATCTTTACCTGCATTTTATCTACTGTTTAAAAGAAGAAAAAGGGAGAAAGTATGATGTAAGAAAATTCTTAATTTGAACCTCTAGTGCAGGATTTGTAAAATATATCAGAAAGTCTTCTACCTTGTGTTCTATTTATAGAAAAACTCTATTTCATAGCAATTCTATTATTTTCAATTAAATATATTTAACAGTGTCACAAAGCAATGAACTTCTCTAAAATTCTTACAGTATTCATGAATCTTTCTCTCCTACTTAAAATACTAATTCCAGATCACCACACTCTTATTTCCTCCTATCCAGAGAACCAACCATGCCATTTTGCCAGGAACTGAATGGTTTCTTGGGATGTTGGACTTGAGGTGTTTAAAATAGCTGGTCACGCAACAGCTCCTTATTCTCCTTTTCTGGATTCTTCTCTTTGTGCTAATCTGTAATTGTATACTCAACATGTCCTTCTGGACTTCTAAAAAGCATCTTAAATTTAACATGAATAGGGGTGCCTGGGTGGTGTAGTCAGTTAAGCACCCAACTCTTGGTTTTGGCTCAAGTCATGATCTCATGAGTCATGGGACTTAGCCTCACATGGGGTTCTGCACTCAGCAGGGAGTCTACTTGGGCTTCTCTCTCCCTCTCCTCCTCACCCCCACCCCCTCATGCACTCTCTCTCTAAAATAAATAAAGCTTAAAAAAAATTTAACATGAATAAACTGAAGTCTCCCCACCAGCAGTCACACTGTTATTTGGACCGTAACACAGGCATTATCCTTACTTCTCTTTCCTTCACTATGTACATCAGCAGTCCCACTGGCTTTATCAGAATCCAGCTGCTTCTCATAGTTTCAATCACTAGTTACCATTTTACTCCAATCAACCACTCGTACCTAGATCACTACAACAGCCTCCCATCGGTTCTCCCTACTTTTCCTCTTATCTTCCTCAAAAGTCAATTCTCTACATAGCAGCCAGGGTGATCTTTTAAAACATAAATCATGCTTCAAAATACAGGAGGGAGAAAGGGAGTAAGTGTATATGTAGGGCAGGACTGGTTATCCACAGGATGGATGGTGTGAGGTTGGGCTCCAGTTCTGCTACAGGTGGATGCTGACCACAGGAAGCTCGCTGTTCTACTTGCAAATTCAACATATTAAAGTTAAATACACATTCAGATCATGCCAGTTCCCTGCTGAAACATTCCATTGTCTTTTCATCACATTCAGGTTAAAATCCAAACTTGTTACCATGGACCATACGGTCCCACGATCTGGCCTCTGTCACTTTCTCTCACTCATCATCTTCTACCATTCTCCTGGTGCCTCACTTGCACAGGCTTTCCTGCCATTCTTCAAATATGTCAAATCTGTTCTCACTTCAGGGGCTTTACACTTGCTATTTCCTATGCCTGGAAGGTTCTTCCCACAGGTCTTTACAACACTTGATCCTTTAACTTCACTGAGTGCCATTCGAAGTCATGAAAATGGGTGCCTGGGTGGCTCAGATGCTTAAGTGTCTGCCTTTGGCTCAGGTCATGATCTCCAGCTCCTGGGATCGAGCCCCATGTCAGGCTCCCAGCTCAGACGAAGTCCGCTTTTTCCTTTTCCCTCTCCCTCTCCCCCTACTTCTGCTGTCTCACTCAAGTGAATAAATAAAATCTTTAAAAAAACAAAAAGAAAAAAGCCATGAAAATATTTCTGACCACCTATTTAAAATAGCTCCCACTTGGGATGCCTGCGGGGCTCGGTCAGTTAAGAATCTGCCTGTGGCTCAGGTCATGATCCCAGGGTTCTGGGATCGAGCTCCACACTGGGCTCCTTGCTCAGTGGGAGCCTGCTTCTCCCTCTCCTCTCCACTTGTGCTCTATCTCTGTCACTATCTGTCTCTCTCTCAAATAAATAAAATCTTAAAAAATAAAATAGCTCCCCCTCATTCTGTTCCAGGACCTGTTCTCTCTTTACCCTGCTTTACTTTTATCTTTCTTCTTAGCACTGATGTTATATATTTGTTTACATCCATCAACCCCACCAGAAGGTTAATAACTGTGAGGGCAAGCAACGCTGCAATGATGGAATTGTCCTTCATCTGTGTTGTCTAACACAGCAGCCACTAGCCACATGTACCTACATGAGCACTTGAAATGTGGCTAGTACAACTGAGGAACTGAATTTTAGTTAACTTAAATAGCCACATTTATAGATGCTTAACAAATCCTTGACACATGATTGCATCTGACCATTCTTCACAAATTCTAATCTTCATGGGGGAAGAGACATCAGCAATGAGACACATAAATTAAAAGCAGCATTAAAATATAAAGCTAAGATACAACACAATTCCTATAGCAATTATAATACTGACCCTGAGACTAGTAATACAAGACTCCAAAATCCAAAGTAAATTAAAAAGTTAATGTTAAATCATATATTTTTGTTTAGGATTTTATTTATTTGACAAAGAGAGATACAGTGAGAGAGGCAACACAAGCAGGGGGAGTGGGAGAGGGAAAAGCAGGCTCCCCACCAAGCAGGGAGCCCAATGCCGGGCTCAATCCCGGGACCCTGGTATCACTACTCAAGCTGAAAGCAGACAATGAACAACTGAGCCACCCAAGCACCCCTTGTATGTCATCTTTAAAATGAAGGATACATGCAGTCTATCAGAAATAACCAACCTCAGTAAGAACATGTACTCAACCACTGCAAATAAGATTTAATGTACCTTGAGATTTCTTTTTAAAGCAAAGATCAGAGATTTCAGATTTCTAAAAAGGTTTTTAAAAAAACACTACTTAGGTAAAAATGAAGTTTCTCAACTGTGCAGCAAATATATACATTTAGCAAAACCTAAAAGCAAACAGTTATCTAAGACTGTGCCTAATTTAGATGCTAATTTATCAAGAGAAGACCTACACATTTTCTGAGAGAAGGGCTACAATCCAGCTTATGGGATATAATTTCTATTTAAATCCAAGGAATGCCATTTCATCCCTCCTTTAAAGTCTGAGTGTTACAGGTCACACAATGTCTTAACTACTAAGCTAAACTAAAGGTCAGTGAAAGGGGAACAGTGAGAATGGTAACAAAAAATAAATGACTGCATTTTAATGTCACTGTACAACTCAGATACATATTTATACTTTGTCTCTAAAATAATGGAGCTTACCTTATCCAGTTATTACAGTTAAACATATCCCATTTGCCAAGGTAAATTAGAGAATTCTACCAGTGTATGCTTTTAAATACTATTTCTATTTGAATTAAACTTCCTTCAGTTCATTTGAATTTTAAACAGTAGCCCAATTTAGTATTCTATGTTGCCTTCCACAGTCTATGCAAAACAGTCTTCTGAACTCAGTGTCCTGCATTAATGAACTGCTAATAAATACAACTGTATTAGAACAGCACAGAACAGTTCTAAAGCATACAACTTTAAATATCCATAAAATTAACGCAGTGGTTAGGCCCCTTGACAATGTTATCTGAATGATAGTGGATGATATAAAACTAGTATAATTAATGAATTTGCACTTGGTCCTACATTCTATTTAGTTACAAATACTATTACTAAAGAAATAACAATAATTACTCAGTGTCCATATGTCACCAAACACCAAGATGCCCAGAATCTTTATTTCTTAGCCTTCTAAAAATTAAGGAAAGACTAGTACTTAAAATTTATGTTGATATCATTACTTTTTAACTTTTTATCCCAGGTTCAGATAAATCCATATGTATGCAAATAACATACTTTTCCAAAAAGCTATATAATTACTACTGTCACTAGCTTACATTACAGATTGCCATGAAAGACAGTAAGCTTTGCTTTCATAAAATCATACATCCTAACCCCAACCCTGATCAATTTCTTGCTAATGTATGCAATGAATTATGAGACAGGCTCAAATTCTTAGTCAATAAAATGCCATGCTATTTGAAAAAGCAATTCATATAACAACTCTACAGATGATGGGTAATGGGTTAATAGTGCTAGAGTAAGCTCTTAAAATATATAAAATATATACTTTAATATGACTCTATAATGCATTTCAAGATTATCAAGTATTACTTTTAATTTAACCCCATTTTATGTGGCCTACTAGCTTTAAATAAAAAGAATTAAACAAAACCAAAAAACTGCATAGTCAGTTTTGTACATATGTAAACAACTTCAAAGATTCACACCTGCCTAGTCAGAAGTCCTTGCAAGAATTCTAAAAACCAGATGCTTCAAGTTTTAAAGTACTCTTCCTGCAACTGCCCTTTCTGATAGTGTCCTATCGTATTAATTTAACACCAATTAACAAAGCTTGTTCTTCCTTAATTGCCCCATGGACTATATATAGTGTATTCTCTATGCTATAGCACTCTAAGAAAGCTGCCACCATTCAATTCTCCCCCTAAAAAATAGATAAAATAAAATTTAATCATCGAAAAGCATGTCTTTACGATCAGCTTTTCTAGTAAAAAACTGATATAGACTTAGAATCTTAGGTTAATTTCACCAACACCATACCCACAACTATAGCTTACCTATACACAGTAAAGATAACTTTTACAAATGTTTTCTGATCTTATATCCCTTACCAAGAGAAACAAAAAGAGCATGAATTAATCAAGTCTGTACGTAGCTTCTTCTCTAAATCATAGTAGTTTAAAAAGAACTCAGGAAAAAAAAAAAAAGAACTCAGGGTTGGTTATGAGATCTTCACTGTGGTCCATTTCTGATAAAATTGGCAACATGGCATACACTGGAACAAGGTACTTAATAAGCAACATTTTAATCCCATAAAAGGCCTCCAGAAAGTAGAATGTTCCTACATAATCAATGCGCCATAACCAATGCATTCATCGTAACACCACTGTGAATTATATCTAATAAAAGCAACTGAATCAAGCTCACCAAAAAAAAAAAAAAAAAAAAAAAAAAAAAAAAGGAAGGAAGGAAGAAACTAAGTTCATTAAGTTATGCACTTCACACGGCACCTAGGTGGGTCAGTTGGTTAGGCATCCAACCCTTGATTTCAGCTCAGGTCATGAACTCAGTCAGGGTTGTGGGACTGAGCCCCACTGTTGAGCCCCACGTCAGGCTCCATGCTCAACACTAATCTGCTTGAGATTCCCTCTCTCTCTCTCTCTCCCCACTACACTCTGGCCCTCCCCCAATTCAGGTGCTCTCCAAATAAATAAATAAATGAATGAATAAATAAAATCATCCAAAAAAAAGAAGTTATGCATTTCACTTAAATTAAAAATATTCAGAGACTCTCACAAACTATTTTAACTTGCAGTTTAGGGCAAAAGCAAGAAGTAAATTTATAGTTACATCATGATAATGTTTTAGAAAATGCATAACCAATTAGTAATATACGGATTTCTAATCTGCCCATGTATGACAAAAGCCATTATTACTAAGAAAATACCCCATTAAATTCTCACCAATTTATGAGTTTCATCATGTTGTTTAGAGAGCTTCCACAGAAGGGAAATAATATTAAGAACTTGCTGCATAACCTGCAGAGGTTCTCGTTCTATACCATTTCCAACAGAAGCAGCTAGTTGCGGAGGCACAGCTTCAATCCAGCATTCAATTAGCAATGGAATTATTATCTCAATAAATCCTTTCAAGTTTTCAGTAGATGAGAGGCCTTCATCCACACTGCCTAGTCCTCCAACAAGGTACCTATTTAAGGAAGGGTAAGAATGAAAAAAAAATTAATGATTAAAAACTATTATCCCTTGTTTAATTTAAATATTAAGTGTAAAGTACTAGTAAAAATGAAGTTCCCTGAATTGATAATTACATTGATCAAAACTAGTAAGAAAATAAAATTCTAAAATGACAAAGCCGAGAGAAACTATCAAGTTTTACTTCTCATTAGGCTTTTCTAGAAATGAATAAATTAATTACTTTCAAATGACTCCTCCCATCAGTAAATAAAATCAAATCATGAGTAACTATATGATTTTTATATGAACTTTATAACTTTTATATGAAAACTATAAAAGACAACTGCATGTCTTCCCACCATTAGCCATCAATGGTCAGTAGTTAAAATTCAATATAGGAAAACTGAGTGTGGACATAACTGAAATCCTTCTTACCGTAGCCTGAACTGTGAACTGACATTTGGCTGTGAACCCCCATTTTCATAAACCTGGATGTGCTGCTGGTCGTTGGCATGTTCCTTCCAGTTGATAAAAATGGAGTTGCTAGTGGCATGGGGATTTTCTTTTTGTTCCTGAAGTCCTTCACTTTCTCTCAACCTACTGGATCCATCTGCCAAGGCCTGAAGGAATTTACTGAGTCTCACTAAGACTTTCAGCCTCCACTGCTGAGAAGTGAGTCTCCGATTAGGATTTACAGAAAGTATCCAGGACTGGGATCTGTCTCTATTTATCAGTCCTTTGGACAGCTGCTGATGAGAAATAAGTTCTACAAAATTCTTAAGCAATATACTGCTACGGCCAGTAATTAAGGCTGGGTACTGTTCCAGCAGAATGTCCAAAACTTTTAAAGAGTCCTCCTGAATTCCTTCAGTAATGTGAGTCATGGCACTAGAGAGATGGGCACTTACCAAAGGAAAAAATGGAGAAATTTGTTCAGCTCGTATTTTGGGGGCCAGGAATTGAAGAAGTTGAACTGCTGCTAATCGTACATTAGCATCTTTATCTGTAAACACAGCAGTCACTTCACTTAATATGTTTGAAAGGTGTGCATCAATTATAAATGGGTACTGAGACAAAAGGTCTTTAAGTCCAAGAAGAGCACTTTGTTTAACCCCAGCATTGTAGTGATGCATCTGTGACAGCAAATCCTAAAAGTAAAAACAGAAGATTTAGGTATACATGCAATATTATAACATTTTCAAATAAACATGCTAACCAAAACTACAAACCATAAACTAACACTCCTTGGGGAAGCTGCTTCAATAAGTATTTTCTAAACGTTACCTAGACTCTGCTAAGAAGAGAATCACTGTTTTATCTTTAAAATAGATTTAGTTTAGGGGCGCCTGGGTGGCTCAGGCTCAGCGGGTTAAGGCCTCTGCCTTCGGCTCGGGTCGTGATCCCGGGGTCCTGGGATCGAGCCCCACATCGGGCTCTCTGCTCAGCAGGGAGGCTGCTTCCCTTCCTCTCTCTGCCTGCCTCTCTGCCTACCTGTGATCTCTGTATGTCAAATAAAAAAAAAAATTTAAAAAAAAAAAAATTTTTTTTTTTTTTTAAATAGATTTAGTTTAAAGGCCCTTGGGTGGCTCAGTCCATTAAGCTGCTTAAGCATCTGCCTTAGGCTCAGGTCCTGATCTCAGACTCCTGGAACACAGTCCCACACTGGGCTTGCAGGGAGCCTGTTTCTACCTCTCCCTTTTCCACTCCCCCTGCTACTCCCCTGTTTATGCATGTAAGCCCTAAAAGATAAATAAAATCTTTAAAAATAAATAAATAGATTTAGATTCATAAAAACATTACATAATTTTCAGTTAGAATTTTCTCTTCTTGAAATTGACCTGTATGAAGGCTTAGGCGTGCTATTATTTAAAGTGACAACGATCATCATCACTATTTAAAGAACTACTATATATCAAACATACGGTAGGTGCATTTATATAATTTAACAGGCCTGTTTTACCTATTTTAAATGGTTTTTCAGGGGTGTGTGTGCCCATCCTGAGTATGGCATTTGACAATTTCATTTGTGGAATAATCTTTATGATTTGTGAGAAAAACTAACTTCAAGTATCTTTTCAGTATTATTTTCAGAGCTTAAAAGCAAACTAGAAAATGTTTATCCTCACAAAAACTTGTTCATAAATGTTCCTAACAGCAGTACACATAAGAGTCAAAAAATGGCAACAAACTGGGTGGGGGATGGGCTACATGAGGAATGGTTAGGGCACTTGTGATGAACACTGGATGCTGTACCTAAGTGATGAATCACTGAATTCTACTCCAGAAATCAGTACTGCACTACACATTAACTAACAAATTTAAATTAAAAAAAAAAAGTGGCAACGATCAAATGACCATCAACTGACATCTGATAACATGTGACATAACCACGCACTAAAATACTATTCAAAAATACAAAGAATGAAGTACTGTTCTGACAGATATGCTATAACATGAATGAACCTCAAAAACATGCTAAATAAAAGACCAGTAACAGAAGAGCACATATTGTTCCATTTATATTAAGTGACCAGAATCAGCAAATCTATAGATAGCAGATAGATTAGTGGCTGCCTAGAGTAAGAGGAAAAGAATGGGGAGTGACTTTTTTTTTTTTTTAATTCATTTGACAGAGAGAGATCACAAGTAGGCAGAGAGGCAGGCAGAGAGAGAAAAGGGGGGGAAGCAGGTTCCCTGCTACACAGAGAGCCCAATGTAGGACTCGATCCCAGGACCCTGAGATCATGACCTGAACTGAAGGCAGAGACTTAACTCACTGAGCCACCCAGGCGCCCTGGGGAGTGACTTCTAATAGGTATAGGGCTTCTTTATGGAATGATTAATATGTTCTAAAATTAGATTACAGTGATAACAGCATAACTCCATAAATATATTAAAAACTACAAAATAGTACATTTTATTTTAAGTAAGCTCCACTATGCACTGAGCCCAATACAAGACTTGAACTCACGATCCTGAGACCAAGACCTGAGCTGAGATCAAGAGTCAGACGCTTAACCAATTAAGCCACCCAGGCACCCCTGGAATGGTATACTCTAAATGGGTCAATTTTATTATGTGTGAGTTACATTTCAATAAAGCTGTCAAAATTTTAAGCAAAAGTACTGCTCAAACTTTAACTTCACATATTTACAATGAACCTGTTATGTGCTATGTATGAGTTCAAAACGAGTAAGACAAGATGTTCATGAACTATAAAAACAGCTGGAAAACTGTGTCATCAAAAACCTGATACATCAGAAAGTTAAACATAAGAATTATTTCCAGAGCACATATTAAATTATCAAATAGGTATACAATGAAGAAATCACTGTGGATTTAGCTGAGCAAGTCTTTCTAGAGGAGGTGGGAAAGCTTCAGTGGCAACTCAGATTTGGTTAACAAAAAAACTCCAACCATCAGCCATCCATAAACCCTCAAAATTAAAACAACTTTTCACAAAAATCATTCTAGATGATTTCAAAGAAAGTATTATTTTATCAAAACAATATTTACGATTTACCTTTATGTTAAGCTTTCTATTGTTTGTTGGAAGAGCTCCATCTTCTTTGAGTTGCTCAGGCAGATGTATAGTCTTAGTTTTAAAGTTTGTAACAGTAGCATTTTCTAACTTGGGTTTCTTTTTACCAACTTTTAGTTTTACTTTTTGAAAATCATCTTGGCGTTTTCTTTTTTTGGTCATTCTTCAGTGCTATAGTGAAAAGAAATTTAAAACAATGGGTAAAAAAAGAAAATAAATAAAGTGTTTTCCAACATTTATATTAACTCTAAAATTTATTTCAAAGACAATCAAGAATCAGAGCCAGTAAGAACTATGCCAAAGGATCAAAGTATCAAATGGAAAATACCTTTACCAAGAGGTATACCTTAGTCAAGAGACACTGTAAAGAGGAGTCCAACAGTAAGGCAACAAACCTCCCATAGGTTTGTCAAGGGTTTCTAGCCAAGGAACCTTCCTCAAGCAATAGTGCTAAATAGAAACCTTTGGAAATAAGGTCCCACCTAGGGTTTGAGGGGAGAGAGGGGGGAGAGAACATATTTGCTCCTGGCCCCTCAAAGTCCCTGAGGAACCTCTACTAACAAAACTAAGTTTTTAAATGCAGCCTGTAATAGTCAGAAGTCGTTTCATGAACCTAAGCTGATGTTTGAAAAAAGTGTAAGATTCAGAAATATGTAGCAAGGAAAGTTAATGAGCATTTCATGAGTAAGGGAAACAGGATATAGATCAGGAGTAGAGAGTAAGCCCAGTATGGGCAAAAATGAGAGAGCAGTATTTTGAACAACAGGATAGGTTCGGATTAGATATCCAAAAGCAGGACAAAAAGCAGTATAAAAGGAAATCTAGTGTAACAGAGGGGTAAGGAACAAAGACTAGCTAGGCCACTGTTGTAATAAATAACTTGGGCATAAACATGTCATCTTGCACTTCCCCCTCTATACCACATCCTTTCAATTTACACCCAAATCTTCCCATTTACACAAAAAAACTTTGATCTGTGCCTGCTATCCATTCCCAGGCCACTTCTTAAATTCTTTATTTCTACCCTAGGCTGTTTATTAGTTTCCCCCATCAGTATGCTTGCCTTGTTTTTAGTGTCTATTCCCTAGCCCATTTGCTGGAGTCACAAGAGAGATCTTCCTAAACACAAATATGACCAAGGCTCAGGACTTTTCAGCTATTCTTTTACTTCCTTACAGTAAGAACACAGCATGTCCTTCCTAACTTCCTCTCCAGCTTTATCTTCCCACAAGCTAACGTCTATCTAAAAATTAGCCTCCTATACCTAGAACCAGCTCAACTCCAATTGAAACCTCTTCCAACATGCTGCAAAAATAATGAATTCTGTACACCCACTGTAATAGGTAAACTGCCTCTGAAATAAATAAAACTTCTTCTGGTCTACCATAATCATCCTATGTCCAGGTACTTTTTTTTTTAAAGTCACAGTACTATAAGTCAGAGTCCAAAAAATTTGAGTAAAATGAAGCTTTACATTTATTGTGAAATAAAATAGCTTGTGCAAGACCAAGCAGCTCAAGTTCCAGGAATCCAGAAGCCAATCGCCTATAACATTATATCCAAATTCACATGATTTCAAGGTTTTAATGCATTAGAGCCCCTTGAGCTAAGTAGGATTTGGCTACATAGGTTAAGAGCAGATTCTACAGTCAAATGCTCTACCCCTGAGCTATACCCCCCGGCCTAAGAGCAGATTCTAGAGCCAGAATGATTCAGTTCTTATCCAGACTGCCACTTTCTAGCCGTAGTTAAAAGTGTGCCACAGTTTTTATCCACAAATTAGGAATAATAATACTTACATCATATAGTTATTATGAGGTAAGATTATTGAGGAACAAATGAGTTCCTATTTGTAAAACTGCACCTGGCACTGTCAAATATATATAAGAACAAACATGTATATTTTCTTAAAGTCTCAGGACCAGTACATATCAAGCACAGTATTATATGCATTATGTACACTAGCATTCAATTTTCACAAAATCATGTGAGCAAGGTGGTACTAAATCCATCTTAAAGATGTGGCTCAGAAAGATATGTCAGACCTGTATTAGGGAATTGAGGGACTAAGGGCTCTGAAAAATCAGCTTTATGTTATACAAACTGGAATTAAGGTGAGGATTGCAAACCCAAGTGGCAAAATGGTTTCTCATTTCATTTATACCAATTCCAAGTATTCATCCCACCCACACCTCTATTCTAGTTTTTTTAAAAAATGGTTAAGCAGGGGCGCCTGGGTGGCTCAGTGGGTTAAGCCGCTGCCTTCGGCTCAGGTCATGATCCCAGGGTCCTGGGATCGAGTCCCGCGTCGGGCTCGCTGATCAGCAGGGAGCCTGCTTCCCTTCCTCTCTCTCTGCCTGCCTCTCTGCCTACTTGTGATCTCTCTCTGTCAAATAAATAAATAAAATCTTAAAAAAAAAAATGGTTAAGCAAAGCATAAAAAGAATACTCACCCTGCCTTTTAATTAAAAAGTTTTCATTGATTAAGCAAACATTTTGTGAGTTTTCCCTACAATTTTATTACTAGCTAGTACCAGAGATGAAAATAAATGGTACAAGACAGAAAAATCAAATGAATTAACCCCAATTCACCAATCTTCCATGCTATCTTTACCCACTAACTACCTGACCTGTGGCCAACATACAGTCTGTCAAGCTTATGTCATATTATCCATCACTCTGTATCAGTCACACTAATTTCGCTGTTAGGAAAACTAAAGAGGGCTGATCGCCATTCCTTGGCTTTTAAAGCTGGTATTATTGGGGCGCCTGAGTGGCTCAGTAGGTTAAAGCCTCTGCCTTAGGCTCAGGTCATGATCCCAGGGTCCTGGGATCGAGCCCCACATCGGGCTCTCTGCTCAGCAGGGAACCTGCTTCCTCCTCTCTCTCTGCCTGCCTCTCTGCCTACTTGTGATCTCTATCTGTCAAATGAATAAATAAATTTAAAAAAAAAATAAATAAAGCTGGTATTATTATTTTTGAGTGCACAGAGAACATTTTTATACTAGGAACTTTTAAAGTTCTATTACCTATTTGTTATTTTCACTTTAAAATAAAGATTTTCAGAGCCTGGCTGGCTCAGTCGGTAGAGCATGTAACTCTGGATCTCAGAGTAATGAACCTGAGCCCCACCTTAAGTGTGGAGAAGACTTAGAAATAAAAGCTTTTAAAATAACTAAATAAAATTTTAAAAGTACAGATTTTCATAGCACAGCACAACAAATATTCTGACTAAGCCACTTAAACAGTAGCCGGTACTGAACAGAAGGTACAAACTCCAATCTCAGGGGATAAACTCTGACATGGCTGGACCTCCTACGCGGGTAAGCCCCTGAAGTTCTAACACTGAATTTCATATATTCCAATTACAGGTCTCCTAATTGCAACACAAGGGAGAGTCCAGAGTATCAGAATTTCGACCGAGTCAAATTCCAGCTAATCTGTCTGCCACCCCATTACCCTAATTTCTTTAAAAAAAAAAATTAATAATGCATACTGCAATTTTCTTTAATAATCTCCCCGCCAACCCCTTACTCTCACGAGTTCCTCCCAACTCTACTGAGGGGGCCAATTGGAGAAACCAGACTTCTCGGAAAGTAGATGCCCCAAAGTGTGCCGAATCAGAGAACCTCCGATGACGCTCTGCTCCCCCCCACACACACACCTGGACGGCGACAGGGCCGTGCAGTAGACGCCCGCTCATCCCCACCACCCCGTCTTGGTCCAGCAGCCCACATGTGAAGAGCCCGTGGACGGTAAAAACGATCGTTCCTTCTACTCCTGCGGCCCATGGTCAGGAACACAGTCGGGGAAGCGGGGCCCAAATCAAGGCACACCGGCCTAAAAGTCTCTGGGACGCGAAACCGCGCGAACCCACCCAGCCACTTGCGCTTCAAAAGCCCGCGGGGTGACCCACCCCCGCACTTCCCCGCTCCGCACCCAGACTCCGCTCCGCAGCAGCGCCTCCGGAGGGCCCCCAGGGCGCGTAGACCAGCCACAGCCGGCCTGGCCCGCCTGGGCCGCGAACCGGGGGGCAACGGCTCCGCGCGCCGTCCCGCGCCCTGGGAGGGCCCGGCCCGACGGGCGGCAGCCGCTCACCTGAGGACCCGGCCGGGACCGGGGAGCGGAGGCACAGGAAAAGAGCGTCCGAGCAGAAGCCCAAGGGGTGACGGCGTGCGCCACCAGCCTCAGCCTCTCGCTCCCCGAGCGTGTTTTCAAACCACCTAGTCCTCACGCGGCCGCGTCTCCTTCCGCCGCCCGGAAATCAGGGCCCCTCCCCCGCCGCGCCGCGATCACGTGACCGCGGCCCGCAGCCGCGCGCAGCCGGGGAGGCGGGAGTGGGAGAGGTAGGCCCCGCCCTCGGGAGGAGGGGACCAGCCGGAAGCCCCCTGCGCTCCGGGAAGCCGAAGGAGCAGAGCGCAGGATCCGAGGACAAAGCTTGGCCCTAAGTCCGGCCCCGAACTTCCTGGGCGTGCGTGGTGGGAAGGGGTGTCGCCCCGGTTACGGCTGCTTGAGAGCGTACCTATTCTCCCCTCGTTAGACCGCAGTTCCTCAGACCCGGAGCCACAATCAGAGAACAGAAGTTGAACTGAATTGGGAAAGGGAAAAGTTTCAGACTGCTAGAACCATAGAATCCCTGAGAACTTTAACCTGGATGGAGCAGTTAAGAATTACTCGACAGAGGGCAAAATGCATGCCGTAGCTAAAGCCTGAAAGTCTTAGCGGAGGATTTTCCCTGATAGTTCAGTATCTCAGCACTAAGATTGCTGCTACTGAAATTAAGTGGGCCCAGGGAAGTGAAGAGAGAAAATGAATGCCTAGAAAGGGGATGAGAAAGCAAGGAGAATGGTTCTTTGAAAGATACCCTTACCTAAGACTGGCAGGAGGGGTGAAGGAAAGTCCTGGCTGTGGATTTGAGACCTTGATTCAAATTTGTCTCTACAGCTTATCAGATGTAAAACAGTAAAGCTGACAACCATATGAGCCTCAGTTTTACGAGCGGAGACACAAGCCCTGGGACTAAGAAGATTCTTATTCTATGACCAGAGATAAAGCAGACCCAGATACCCACCTCTCTCTTCCCTGGCAACGCAGCCATACTACCACAATCTGCCTTGAATCCACCATAAACATACTTTGGAGAGTCATCAGCATTATATGGTATTACATGGTTTTAAAAGTTATGAGACTGGATCAGAAGAGGAAAGGCTTATTGCTAGTCAGACTTGTTCCCTCAACTCCAGCTTCCTAGCTAACAGCTTATTCAACATTTCCTTTGGACATCCTATTTTTACCTACCTCAAGGTGAACATGTCCCAAATGGAACTCCTGATTTTCCCCCTGAAATGTATTCCTACTACAGCTTCTTCATCTCAAATAGGAATTTTCAACGTTTTAGTTACTCAGGCCAAAAACCCAAAGAAAGGCTTCTTTCTTCCACATCACACATCTAACTCATCAGGAGATTCTGATCACATCAAACGTTTGCGGACTTCCACCACTTCACACCACTTCCTTTCCTATCATCATGGTCCAAGCCATCTCATGATCACAATGGAAAAACCTCTGAATAGGTTTCCCATATCCATCATTGCACTCTACTATCTTCTCCCTACAGTCTAATAGCAGAGCAGCTGTGTGATTAATTTAAAATCTAAGTCAGATCATGTTACACTTTTAATCAAAACCCCTCAATAACTCCCCATTTCATTTGGAATAAAGTCAGAGTCCTTACCATGGCCTCAAGATCTGCCAAATTCTGACATTTCACTGAACCTCTGGATACTCCTTCTACCACTCTCTCTTTTTTCACTCTGCTCTAGCCACCCTTGCTTCTTGCCTGTGGCAAAGTGGCCCAGGTGGTGATACAGGGGACAGAAGTGCTTGGTCTGCCCAAAGGAAATAGCCAACTTTCAGCTAACCATTGCCAAGAGGAAATGCAAATCTCATGTTTAAGGAAACAGAAAATAAGAAATCTGATCTTGTAATATTGGTGAACAAGCATCCCCCTCCCTTTTTTTAAGGTGTTTTTTTTGTTTTGTTTTGTTTTTTGTTTTTTTGACAGAGAGATCACAAGTAGGCAGAGAGGCAGACAGAGAGAGAGGAGGAATCAGGCTCCCCGCCAAGCAGAGAGCCCGACACGGGACTCGATCCCAGGACCCCGAGACCTCCACCCGAGCCAAAGGCAGCGGCTTAACCCACTGAGCTACCCAGGCGCCCCTGCAACTCTTGATCTTGAAGTTATGAATCCAAGCCCCAAGTTGGGCGTAGAGATAACTTAAAAATAAAATCCTGGGGCACCTGGGTGGCTCAGTTCATTAAGCATCTGCCTTTGGCTCAGGTTGTGATCCCAAGGTCCTAGAATCGAGCCTCATGTGGGGCTCTCCACTTAGCTGGGAGTGTGCTTCTCCCTCACCTTCTCACTCTGTGACCTCTCTCACTTTTGCTCTCTGTCAAGTAAATAAATAAAATTTTGAAAATACTAAAGGGGTACCTGGGTGGCTCAGTTGATTAAGCATCCAACTCTAGATTTCAGCTCAGGTCATGATCTCAGGGTTGTGCAGAGTCTGTTTGAGATTCTCTCTCTCCCTCTGCTCCTCCCCCCACCCAAGTGGGTGTACTCTCTAAATAAATAAATAAAATATTTAAAAAAATAAAATCTAAAAACCAAAAGACAAAACACTGTGTGGGCCAAACAAAATACTTAAGAGCAGGTTGCTAGTTTACAACCTCTGGTTTCAGACATGAAAAGCATGTACATAAAAAGAGGGTTTTTTTTTTAAGATTTAATTTATTTATTTGATAGACAGAGATCACAAGTAGGCAGAGAGGCAGGCAGAGAGAGAGGAAGGGAAGCAGGCTCCCTGCTGAGCAGAGAGCCTGATGCGGGGCTCAATGCGGGGCTCGATCCCAGGACCCTGGGATTATGACCTGAGCTGAAGGCAGAGGCTTCAACCCACTGAGCCACCCAGGCACCCCTGGGTTTGTTGTTGTTGTTGTTGTTGTTTTTCAGTTATAGGTGATGAACTGAATAGTTGCAAACATCATCTGCTTAGCAGAACCAGAACAGACCTTTGATAAATGATAAGCATGTAACTAATCAGGGTCTTTGTCCCATGAGAGAAAAATATGTACAGCAAACATGCATTCTAGAATCTGTTGCATATTTCATTTTCAAAACTCAGTCCAATTGGCCACAAAAACTACGATATTAGTTTCCTGGGGCTTCTGTAACAAAGTATCACAAACTTGATGACTTAAACAACAGAAATTTATTAATTCTGGAAACTAGAAATTGGAGATCATGGTTTGGCAGGGTTGGTTCTTTCTGAGGGCTCTGAAGGAGTTGCAGTTTCATGTCTTCTTCTGGCTTCTGGTGGCCTTAGATGTTCCTTGGGTTGTAGATGAATCCTCTTTCTCTTTACATTGTCTTCCCTCTGTGTGTGTGTCGGTGTCCAAGTTCCTCTTTTTAGAAGAACACAAGTCATATTAGATTAGGGCCCACCTTAATGACCTCATTTTTAACATAACTGCCTCTGTAAAGACCCTATTTCCAAGTAAGATCACCTTCTGAGGTGCTAGGGGTTAGGACTTCAACATATCTTTTTGGAGGGACACAATTTAAATCCTATCAGACGCCAAGATCTGTTTCCAGAAATGTCTGTATTTAATCTGAACAATATCTCTTTTTTGTCTATACGCAGAAGCATCACAAAAGTCTAGATTAAGTAATTTACTCCTACACAATTTATATAACCTCTGCAGCTTCTCTGTTTCTTATACCAGGCTTCCAGTTAATATTTGCCTCTGAAATAGGGTAATGCTCCTAAGGAAAAAAAAAAAACAAAACCCTAAACTAACTCTTATCTTATGTTTCAAAGCTACTGCTAACACAAAAAACAGAAACTCTTTGAAGAAAGCTGAAAAGTAGGACTTCAAATTTGATACTATAATCAGAGGGAAAAAGTCAAAACCCATTCTCTAGGAATTGATATGATATTTGCAAATTAGGTAGGTAACTGCCTGGTACACTTTAAACCCTGTCAATAAATGGCAACAAATGTTACTATGAATGATGTATCATTGCAGAGTCCCAGATGCAGAGACACAGAGCAGAATATAGAAGGCGTGAGTTTGAGGCAAGAGAGGATTGCTTAGTAATCAGAACTAAAACTTTATAAAAAATTTAAACAACTAAATGAAATAACGGAAGCATCAGAAAAAAAATGAGTAAAATACATGTGTAATTTAGGGGTTGAGGAACTTTCTTTGAAAAGATAAGAAACCTAGAAGCTATTGAAAAGAATATAAACAAAATTCACGACATTGAAAAAATTTAATGTGATATGGCAAATGACACCAATAAACAAAGGGCAAAAAAAAAAAAAGCTTAGGGGAGAGATTGCAACACATATGAAAGATAAGTAATTAATATCTGCAAAATCCAAAGAGCGTTTACAAATTATTAAGAAAGTGACAAAAACAATCTGATGGGGAAAAAAGTCCCAAAGCAATGAATAGCAATTCACACACAAAAAATCCAAATGATCAATAAACTTTGCAAACCTCTCAACTGTCAGGGAAATGTAAATTAATATAACAGTGGGATATAACTTCTCACTAAATTCACAACAGCTATAAACCAACATAACACCTACTGCTGGTAGGGATGCAAGGAAAAGTGTATTCTCATCCCTTGCTACTGGAAATGTAAAATCATGTCACCATTTTGGAAAGAAGTTCGAAAATGTCTAAACAAAGTTTTCTTTAAATTTATATTCTTCCAGGGGCGCCCGGGTGGCTCAGTTGGTTGAGCGGCTGCCTTCAGCTCTGGTCATGATTCCAGGGTCCTGGGATCAAGCCCAGCATCGGGCTCCCTGCTCAGCAGAGAGCCTGCTTCTCTCTCTCCCCCTCTCCCTGCCGCTCTGCTTACTTGTGCTCTCTCTCTAGCTCTCTGTCAAATAAACAAATAAAATATTTAAAAAAAATTTATATTCTTACAGTCTAGTAATCCCATCCCCTGAGAATTTGTCCCATAGATACAAAACCATCAGTCCAAAGTATATGGAAGATATTTATTTCAACAACATTTGAGTAACAAAACAGTGGGAAGAAAATGGATTTATGGGGCACCAGCCTGGCTCAGTCAGTGGAGCATGAGACTCTTGCTCTTGGGGTTGTGAGTTCAAGCCCCACACCATTTTACTAACTATACACACTCTGTCCTACAGGAGATGTCTAGAACTCATAGA